AGATAATAGCTCAAAACTCTAGACCAAGATCTTTCGTACAAAATTAGGTACCAAACAAGGGGTTAACCCTATAAAAATATGTTAAAAGAAGAAAGCAAGTCTCTTGACGGAAGTGGGAAAGTTGAGAATTAAGACTCAATTAAGTATTCGAGGAGTTCTAGCATTAGTATTGACACCTTAGCATTTTCTATTGAGCACATTAACTTTGATAAGAGGATATGATCCGATCATGCAACTATTTATTAAATGTAAGAAACTGACCAAGATATGCTTGAAGGTCGCTTGATGAACGACATATAAAAGTTTGGATTAAACTACCAGGTAAGTTCTTCATTGAACCTTTCAATGTTATAGATTGGATCAGACCAATAACATACAGTTCAGCTCTACCACAACCCCTCTTTGCAGTATATAACATATGTCATATATCAATGCTTCGCAAATACTTGATTGACAAGATGTATGCTCTAGAACCTCTGCAACTAGACAAGGACGTGAGTTATTCCTAATGGATGATTAATGATGATAAATGCATGAATAATACATGCATGTTACCTTAGATAATGACTAATGGGTGAATGATGCATATGGTTGTGTCAAAAGAATATTTTAAAAATGAAAAACTATAAAGACCTCATGCATTATGCGTGTTCATATATATCGGGTTACTTTTCCATTTATGATGATGATTACGGACGCATACACTATGATGATGATGAATATCATGTCTCGCATGACACTCGGGTTCTACTGACTTCCGACGTCGATACAGATAGCTAGTTCGACTATGATGAGTCCAGGGGGGTGTGAACCGCTTGGGGATCCGCACTTGCATGTCTGGGTCGTGTGTAGGGAAGTACTACACATCCAATTTGTCTGAACTAGAGGCCACCCCTATGATAGTTTTAACCATAGGTCCCAAGATCACGATTGACATGTGTTTACATTCTCTGACCCCAATCCTAGGGTCACTTAAGTATTTCTTAAAATACTCAACGGTGTGTTACTTCTATTTCAAGTAAAAGCAAGATACCTTTATACGGCCGACGACAACATCGCAAGTAGAAACTATAATACGTGCTAGATATTGGTATTTGATTTCTTAGACTTTAGGTCAGTATACGATGTTTTTACTTTTAATGGCTTATTTTTTTTATTTAATATTTTGTTAGGTTACTTTAAAGACCTTTGCCGTCCATGACAATATTTTAAGATGAAGTTTTAAAATATTTATTTCCGGATAAGAATAAAGAATATATTAAAATATAAAAATGAAAAAAGTAAATTAAGTAAAAAAATAAAAGGAAGGCAAGTTGAGGGAAAGGCAAATTGGTGTGAAATAAGGGATCAGTACCATCCAGATATGTCCACTACCGCAAATTGCTCTGAACACACAATTATTTTCTTTCTTTTTTTCTTTTTTTCTTTTTCTTTTTCTTTTTAGCTATTTTCATAAATTCAAAGCATCTTTTAAATTTTCAACCTTCAATCTCTTTCACCTTTCCCAGATTCCATTAATTTCTCTAATTTTCATTTCTCATTTTTTTAATAAATATTTATTATATTTGAAACACTTTGCTCCCACAACACTATAATTTAAATGTAGTGAATAATTTGTTCGTACATAACCGTTAGTAAGATCGGGGTTGGATCGGGTTGGATGTAGAGAATTTTTTGAACCAACTCAAAAGTTCGAGTTCTTTAGATTGGTAACTCAACCCAACCGTCAATTTATTAAAAAAAAATTAATTTTTAAAAATATATTTATTTATCCACCCTTCATAATTATCCAGTATAATATTAGATAAAAAATATTAAAAGTTCACAAACAAACCCAAATCAATTTCAAATTATTCAAACAAACTCATATAAATTGATTTGGTTTAATCCTAAAAAAAAATGTTAAAAAAATTTAACGCAACACAAACTTAACAATTACTATCAAATGTCTTCCTATTTAAACAATTTAATTAGGAAATGACTAAATGGATTTCATAATAATAAATCTAACTCTGTCACACATCAAACGATTTAATTTTAATTAGTATATTTTCAAAATAATAATTAGACGTTACAAAAATTAATAAATTAGAAGGAGATGAGTCTGCCGGACTCTAGTACTAAAAAAATATAACCTAAAAAGTGAAGAAAGAAAAGTTTATCGAGAGAATTAAGTCGAGAATAGTGAAATAATTATATTTACTTTCTATTTGAATCCTATGTTTTTACTTTCCAATACTCCGATTCTTAGAAAGGGTAAGACGTGAAAATTAAGAGAGTAACATCGTTGATGTGAAAGAGGAAGGAAAAAGGGTAATCTTTGATTTGTTATAGTTAATTTTGATTTGTTATACGATGTGAGAATATTGCTATTACAATACAGTAGAAATTATGCATATTTATTTTTACGTTTGAGTATGGAAAGATACATAAATAAACCGAGACCATATTGAAAACGATGATTCTAAGAATAGGATAACTAAAAATGGGTTAAAAAATA